ACACACACACACACACACACACACACACACACACACACACACACACATATATATATATATATATATGATAATATTAATATAATACTAGACTGTATATGAGTGGTGGCACAGAAGCTAGAAAAGGTGGGCCTGTGATTGGAAGGTTGCTGGTTCGACTCCCCTGTAACGACAACATCAAAATGGGTGGGAAAGATGAAACACCCACACCTGCCTCCACCCTCACTTGACCCACCCTGGGCCCTTGAGCAAGGCCCTTAACCCCCACCATCTGCTCCCCTGAGGGACCCTAGACGGCAGCTCTCTGCTCCACACAGAGGCTGTGGTAGCTCAGCGGTCTGCGGTTGTGTCAGGAAGAACATCTGGTGAAAAAACAATTGCCAAGTCTTCATGCAAGATAGTTTTCTGTGGTGACCCCTGAGGAACGCAGCAGCTGAACAAGAAAAAAAAAGCTGTCTAATAGATATATAAAAATGTACAAATGCCACAAAGCTGTGTGGTCGTACCAACCGAGGAGAAAAGGAAAATGTACTTTAACGGCACACGACAGCAGGTTTTATCTTATTTACTGCATCTTAGGGAATGCAGTGAACATTTTCCAAGTGTCACCTTCAGAACAGGTAAATAATAAATATACATTTTTCCAGTACTGTTGGAATTTTCATTGAACCTTTATTTCTAGTCTCACTGAGCCATGAAGACTCATTTACAAGAGAGACCTGTTTTAGACAGACAACAATAAAGAACAATAAAAATGCAGTTAAAATAAAGTAGTGTATAAAACAGTAAATCAGGGTACCGTAAGTCAAGATAGAGTATTAAAAACAAGAACAAATTTGCTTTGATTTTTTATTGACTTTATCAAATGTTTAAACCCCCCTTAAAGAAATAAGGTGTTCCAGGTTACAGGGTCTGTAGTGAGGGAACACTGCAGGTAATGATGGCCTGAGAGCCATTTACACCAATGACACATAAAGGGAATGCCCTTTATGTGTCATTTCTGAGTTGTGTGTTATTGACTGACTTCAGATCCAGTTTAGATCATCATTACTTATAAACTATATATATATATATATATATATATATATATATATATATGCACATATGCACATATATAATTTTATGTCATCTAGCTGTTTTACATGATTGTTGAATGAAATTAACAACAATTATCAATTCTATTCTATTAATTTATTGTAGAAAATAATAATAATTTGTGAAATAGAATCTGTTGGGCTTGCTTTTAATCAAATAGTTGTGGTCAGCTGTGAGCTGTTGCCATCTTTGCTCCTTCGCGATGTCACAGATGCAAGCAGTGGACCGAAAGTGGGTGCCCACTCTATTTGTCTTTACTCTAGGGTTCCTGGTCATGTGAGACAGAAAAAGAGCCGGAGGACAGGTAGGGTCTGCTCAGCCCAGAACTTGGACCAACTTGTTCTCAGTGAAAGTGGCATTAGCAAGCAGGACACAACAGAC